ATGATCAGCCCCAAGCCATGCTTTAGCCCAGAATTATGAAACTTGGTACACATGTGTATCTTGTCAGGACCTACAAAAAAGTCTCCTGGAGCCATTGTCCAAACCCAACAGTATGTCGGCCATTTTGGATCAAAGTCATAATTTTCTCTTTTTTATCAACATTGTATCTGATCGAACTCGTCTTACAGCTTTTGAACTACAGACTTCAAAATCACTCAGCACACTCCTGAGGAATTGAAGGTCAAAAGTTATCAAAAGATTTCTCGTACATCAAAGCATGTGGGCGTGACTAAGTGTCAAACATTGACTATTTGCCACCAAACGTCAAGGTGCAATAACTTCCACATGCAAGATCACAGCTGCATCAGACTTCCTATGTCTCACTGCAAACCAGTCCTGATCACATTGGTCAATTGATGATTTTACCTCAGCCCCGCCCACTTCTGACAGGAAGTCACCTGTTTTTTATGCTGTATGTCTTACTTTTACTCTGTGATTCATATGGGTTTGATCCTGTCATATCATTTTAAATGACATGACAGGATGAACTCTGTCAATGCTGGCTGAACTGTGTGGGCATGGCCAAATGGCGAATTTCAATCCTTCGCCATAAGCATATGGTCGTCTCTAAATCACACATACATCATCCCATTTGCACCAAACTGGATATGTATGAACTTTGTTCTCCTCTAAAAAGCCCTAAAAAGCATTAATTTGTAATTGGACTCCACTGCGCCCCCTAGGTTAATCCATCAGCTATATCTCCCCGCTACATCAGCCAATCTGTACTAGATTTTTTGTGCATCATTGGGGAGCGCTGCCGAATCCATCAATATGTATCACCAAGCGGACGGGTGTGGGTTCTGTGCAAGAGTGTCTGTATTGGCAAGCGGGCAGCAATGGTGGAACCTCGCAGTCGCCAATAGGCTGGAGCGGTGCCGAGCTGCAAGGGCCGTCCGACTCCGCTTGCAGCTTTAATGTTTCATTTATAATAATGATTCAAAAACAGCTGGTGGGGTTTTAAGTCTAGATTTAAAGGCACTCAGTGTTTCGGCTGTTTTTGCTTTTATTAAGCATCTTGGTTACTAAGATTAATTGCAGGTATCAACATGAAGGCATGTGCATATTCTGCAAGAACAGACATGTTTTTTTTTTCTCTAGTTTTTTTTTTTTTTTTTTTACCCCAAAAGACAAGAACAGTGTTTTCTTTGGCTAGGAGATTCGATATTTCACAAGAAACTCAGATGTAGAACTGCCGGAAAGGAGTCATAGGCCCCTCTCACTGCATCATGTATTAGTTTAGTAACCAGGCTCTCGCCCACCTAGCATTGTTGTGCACCATACAAGAAAAAAGTTTTGTCCAGATTTTGTGTAAAGGAGACACTGAAAAGTACAATCAAATCCATTTTTTTCTTACAATTATGGGGGAGATATTTTTATGTTTGCTGTTACTGAGTATATAGACCAGGGGTGTCAAACTCATTTTGGTTTAGGGGCCGCATACAGCTTAATCTGATCTGCAGAGGGCCACACAAGTAAACTCATTGCAAGATTAAATAGAACCAATAAAAGTATTAAACGAATTTCACTTTTACAAAGTATATTATGAATAATCTCAGTTTTTAAGAAAGGTATTTGCAATTCCAACAATACTTTTACTCAGTTAAGCATTTATTTAAGTGCATTATGCATAAGAATTGACCTCAGTGATTGTACAATGTTGCAAAACATTTATTCACAGTTTTTGGAACTTAAAAATACTGTCCTGCATCACAAAATACAACAGACAGAAATTAAGAAAAGATTTAAAATCAAGTTTCAATATCTGGGAAGCAATTTGAACAAATTATCTGACTTCACACATTTGAAATCTTAAGTGTCAGCTGCTTTAAACAGACATTTGATTTAGTACATTTGTTGATGCATAAAATGCATACATATAGAAAAACTTAGATACATAACATGTATGTATGTTAGCATGCACGAGAAATATGAGGTTGCCAGGGCTAAAATAAAAAGCTGGTAAAGCATAGAATCCAACTTGTTTACAGAACCTGAAGCTCAGTGCTGCCATCTGCTGTTAGTTCCGCTGCAGCGTGGCATCATGTAAAACACAGCGCCCCTCGTGGACAGTATAGGAACTGCAGATTTTCAATTAAACGAAGTATATGTTTTTTCATGAATAATGATAATGCATTTAGCCCCCGGGCCGGACTAAATCGTTCGGCGGGCCGGTTCCGGCCCGCGGGCCGTACGTTTGACACCCCTGATATAGACATTTAAACACAAGAAAAGACCCTCCAACTGGCTCAATATATTATTTCCAAGGAGAGCCTGAATGCATGGCATATAAAATATAAAAGCCAGTCTGTATCCATGGTGTGCTTTGGAATAGCAAGTGCATTTTCTTCTCCTCTAGTGCTGAGGGTTTTTGATCACATCTTCTGCCAAGTTCCTCATACCCACAATGGAGGAGCATAAACAGGATTACAATATGCAATCTTCTCAACTCCAGCAAAGCTTTCTTTCCATTGTAAACACCTAATCCTGCGGCACAGAACAGTGAGCCAAAATAAAACAACCTCAAAACGAGGTACAGCCCAACATGCGTCTCCAAGCCCTCTGCTTTATGTGCGTCATTACCTGGTCCCATGTACACTTCGTCAGTAGTTAGCCATGAAATTTAACACAAACATTGCAGTAACTCTTTGAACATTTCAGAATCATTCTCTACAGCTAAAATATATAAATTCCTGTACAGAGGTACATATTGGTGTCTGGGTTCGAATTCTGCTCTGACGTGAACGGTTTCGATGGCTTTTTCTGCAGCGTAAAGCCCAGCAGCTGAAAGCTCAAAGGCAGCTGGAGGAGGTCTTGCAGTCTCGCCTCCAGCAAATGCAGACCAGCATGCAGACAAATCTTCAACCAGTCACTTTGGTTTCTGCAGACAGGAGTATGTCCACTGAGCCAACCATCACAAGTGGTAAGGCACTTTCAAAGGTTTCTGTGCTTGTCTTTACTAGTGATGTTTTTTTACTTTTATTTTAAAAATAAGAGCCAGCTCAATTCTTTAATAAAATTAGTATTTTTGAGTAATTTTTTTCCCTCCCTAAATTAATATTTTGATATTATTTTTGATATTTTTGATCTTCTCTGTTAGATTTTCCGACTGCATCAAATGATATTTCATCTAATATTCAACATCACAACAGAAGAACATCAGAGTCAGATAAAAATGACTTGGTTGATCAAAAACCTTCAACTGGTGAGGCATGAAACAGTCTCATTAATTTCTTCATTATAACATACATAAAACTTCTTTAACCAATATTTAATGAGAATGAATGCTTTAATGAGTGATAAATTATTGTTATTTGAATATCCAGTCATTTTTCTTCTGGACCTCTTTCAGAAGAAATTGACAATGAAGTGCTGGTAGGAAAAATCTCCTTTACACCAACTGATGTACTCGGACATGGAACAGCTGGAACCTTTGTCTTTAGGTAAAATACATCAAGAATCCTTTCTGGTTATTGAACAAATCATTAAAATTTAAGTACTTACTATAACTGGAGAATATAGGACAACTTGTAAATATATTTATATCTCTTGATCTTCTCACATTTGTCAGATTAGAACTATATTCTTTTATATATTCTTAAGTGGGATTTTATGTGAGACCAGCACAAAGTAGAGCCCTGCAAAATCTGAAAAGTATGGCATGCATTTGTATTCAACCCCTTTTTACTGTGATACCCTGAAACAAAGTCCACTGCAGCCAACTGCCTTGTGCAGTCACATAATAAATGTAATTTAGTCTCAGTACACATGTAGCTGTTCTTTGAAGATCATGAAGGTTTGTTAGAGAACATTAGAAGAAAAAGAGCCTCATGAAGACCAATAAACAAAGCAGACAAGTCAGGGAGGAAATGGGGGGGGGAGAGGACATAAAGTGTCACTGACACATCAAGGACTGACACATCCATACGTGGGTCTATCTCCTGCGCAAACGCTGCACCCCTGTGATTCTTTTCTTTAGCTGGAACAAGGTAGATGGTCAGAGTTGATTAAAATATGAATGGATCAAAATAAATTCTTTCAGAAAATAGTCAAAGGCCTGAAAAAAACTTGAGTGTGGAGGTTCACCTCCCAGCAGAAAAATCACCAGAAGTAGAATGATTAGAATGGGTAGACCTGGTCAAAGTTCAAAGGAAAATCCCAATGAGGATCATAATGGCAAAGCTTGGAAAATGATATTAAGTCTTTGAAGTTTGTAATGTGACTCGATGTTGAAAAAGGGGAATGAATACTTTTCCAAGACACTATATAACTTTAGGATCAAATAAAATGATAAATCTGAATCTTTATTCATATTGTGTGTTAGTTTATTCTACATTTTTTCAGATAAATATTGTCTTGAACTTTAGGGGCAGGTTCGACGGACGGCACATTGCTGTAAAGAGAATCCTGCCTGAGTGTTTTGAGGTAGCCGAACGAGAAGTGCAGCTTCTCCGAGAATCTGACACACACCCCAACGTCATCCGATACTTCTGCACAGAGAGAGACCGCCTCTTCACCTACATTGCCATTGAGCTATGTGCTGTGACTCTGCAGCAGGTCAGCACTGCCCAACAGAATGTTTCATGCATTCCTATACCAAGAATTCATGTATCTGACTGTGTTCTCTGCAGTATGTGGAGGATTCCTCTTGCTTTCCTGAGCTGGATAATATAACTCTTCTGGAACAAACCATGTGTGGCCTTTCTCATCTGCATTCACTCAATATAGGTCTGAAATGGATTCATTTTGTGCTCATATTAGCATTTCAAAGTGTAATATTTCTAATCCACATCTTATAGCTGCAGTATATAACTTCTGTAAATATTTATTGAAACCATCACCATGTGGTGACAGTATGGTATTAGACTGAACATGGGGAGAGAAAAAAAAATTATATATATATATATATATAGCGCTCCTCTGCCTTCTCACAGTACCAACTAGAAACAATTAGATCCAGGAGGCAGATCACTGTCAATCACAATCTCATGTGCCACTGCTCCTACTCCCTTTTCTCCCCCACTAGCTCTCTGCAGCTTCTTCCTGGCAGCAGAAGAATGCTAGTTAGTATAGCCACCAATAACCATTTTCTTGCAGCAATAAGTTGTTTCTCCAGCATTAACACATTGGACACTTTGTGGGGACCCAGAAATTCAACCACACACAGTAGTACTCAAAGGAAAAAAGTTTAATTTTAGTTTCAAATTCTGGTTGTACCTCAGGCCGAGGTAATTAAACAGCTCTGAGAAGAGAGGGGAGAAAGCTGGTGATACACATATATAGGGAAATGTTCAGCTTCACAAACCTGTAGAGCAGTGGTTGGGTAGAACAGAAGAACTGAGGGTTTGATTACAGGGAGGTGTAGGTAACCAGAGTGAACAGGCTTCTGTGGAAGCAATGAATCAAAGAGGATCTCCACAATGATCTGAAAAGCAACATCCAGGGACATCAGGCTGAGGTGACCTGATTATCATCAGGTCAGCCTGACGATAATCAGGCTGAGGTGATACACAGGAGGACAGAGAGGGCAAACTTAGCTGGAGGAGCAGGCAATACTCAGTGGTCTTAAGGCAGAGCTTGGGTCAGGGTGCAGAAATCCAAAACAGAAGGGATCCGTGAAGGGTTTGGCAAGGGGTAAATCCGTGGGCAGAAAAGGGCCGTAGAGACACTGAAGACTTCGAAGGAAACACTGGATCTCTACTGGCTCATGGCTGTCGATAATCTGGCAAGGGGGCAGAGGCTGAGGTGTTTGAATAGGGCAGGACCCAGGTGGAACAGGTAAGCAATCAGGCATGGCAGGTGAGCTGAATGAGTGACTAAACACAGCATGACAGAGCAGCAGAGCATTCACAAGGTTGATTAAAGGTGCTAAGATGACAATAGTAGGTCAGGCAGGAGGTCAGTCTATTCACAGATTATCTATCTCATATACTGTCACAACATGGTAACAATTTTTACAAATATTTTAAAAACATAGTTTTTATAAAAGTTACATACTACAGCTTTAAGAAATATTTTGTTGTTGTTGCAAATTAAAGTTCCTCCGTCTTTTCCTTATGAAGTCCATCGTGACCTCAAGCCCAGAAACATTCTCCTCTCTGGGCCAAATGCTCTGGGTGAAGTCCGAGCACTCATCTCAGACTTTGGACTGTGTAAGAAGATCCCAGACGGTCGGAGCAGCTTTTCGCTGCGCTCTGGAATACCAGGAACTGAAGGCTGGATAGCTCCGGAAGTGCTGCGAGAGACGCCTGGAAACAAGCCTGTAGGAAAAACTGAACCTGAACTTATATTCCCTTGTCTTTGTTTTTTTTTTAGAACTTTAATTTTAATAATTTTTTACAGAGTAATTACACAACCATACATCAGCAATAGTTAACAGTGTGGAAGTTTTTCCACAGCTTAAACATTTCAGCATAACATTTTACAATTTCAGCATCCCATTTGTGATTTCAGCATCACCATACAGTGCTAAAATAAGGATGCACTTTGGATGGCATAGCTTGGCACCACACACCAAAAGCCAAATTTGTTGGACTTATTTACATAAATAAAGCTTCTGCTGGCCCCCCTCTTAGACTAAAAGTAGCTTTTTGAAGTCTTAATAAGTAATAAGTATATTATCTTTTCCATTTGGTACAATTCCCTTACTTTTTGAACAAATGTGGTGTAGGAGGGCAGTTCTAATTGCATCCACTTGATTGTAATGTGTTTCAGGGCTGCTGTAAAAAGAATATTTAAAAAATATGCTTTGTCCTGTCCTTACAAACCAGCTGGGATAATACAGAGTGATGCACCTGTTACATCCTGGAGATATAACCTCCTGAAAGATATAGTTTATATGTAGCTTTGTACACCTCATCCCAAAGTTTTGTAGTTTGGGGCGTGACTAAAAATGTGTGTATGATTGGGGACTGCTAAGCAACAGTTTCTCCAAAACAAGCTTGGTACTTTAGAATCTATCTTAGCAACTACTTCTGGGGTGCTGAAATATCTACTAATAATTTTTCATTTATATTCTCACCACACATTTGAGTTTGTAACTTGATGTTCCTCGGTCCAAAGTCCTTCCCATGTGTCGTCAGAAATAATTTTGGCCGTCTCTGCCTCCTATCTTTGTTTTGTCCAAGTGGGTTCGTTAAGGTTCATTGACAGAAACACGTTTAACTTTATCAGTTTCTTACCCACTTCCCCTTTTTGGAAATGAATTAGGAGGTTCTCTATTGGTGTGGGGTTTTGTACTTTTTCCCACTTGTAGACAAAAAATAACACAACTGTAAATATTTAAAGAAATCACATCAGATGAAAATGCCCACTCAACTCTTCAAATGACATAAGGTTGTCCCTGTCGAATAACTGATGAAGAAATGTAAGTCCCTGTTCAGCCCATTTTGAAAAAGTTTTGTCTAAGAAATTGGGAGTGAACCTCTTGGTAACTTAAAAGCAACTAGTACTTTGTTCCAAATGTTAATTGTGGTTCTAGTCCACAATGGCAGTTCCTTTATTGGAATATTTAAAAATGGAAATGCATTTAACAATGCAGAGCTCAATGCTCAGCCATCTTGTTTGAGAATCCTGTTGGACCCATAAAATTAAAGGTTTTAACTGTGCTGCCCAAAAAGAGTATTTTAAAACAGGGAGTTGAGATCCCTTCTGTCTTGCTTCTCTGTAGCATTTTCTATTTTATGTGAGGGCGCTTGCTCTGCCATATAAATTTTGATATCATTTTATTCTAATCAGCAAATGTGAATTTTGGTATTCCAATCGGTAACATCTGGAACAAATACAATAAAATCTGGGTAACAGATTCATGCAAATGATTTCAATGTGGACAGAGGAAGGACAAAGGCAACGCTGACCTTCATTTGAAGGTCGTTCTTAATTATCTACAGTGTTTTATTGTAGTTGGCATGATACAAATCATTCAATGAAAGAGGAATACTCATGCCTAGGCATTTGACACGCTCTTTAGGCCACCTAAAATCCACTTTGTTGTTTAACCCCTTGTGGAATATTGCTATTGACATCTGTTGCCTCTGTCTTATCAATATTTATTTATAGCCAGAAAAATACTCATAAACAGAAATCATTCCTTTCAAACGCAGTATTGATGTAGGATCGGACAAATAAAGAAGAACATCATCTGCGTAAAGAGATATTTTATGTTCCTCTGTGCCAATCACAACCCCTTTAATTTCATCATTGTCCCTAATGAGTTGGACCAATGGCTATCTAGATGTGACATTATGCAATTAAAATCTCCCACCATAATCAGTAAGCTGGAGCTGTACTCTGCAATCATATTGAAAACTCACTTAATAAATCCTGGTGCATCTTCATTTGGAGCATATACATTTATAAATGATACTGCTGTTCCATCAGTTTACCAACATAAATCTACCCTTCCTGTGTTTATATACTAACATCTCAGTAAAGTTTGCCCTTTTCCTACCAGGACAATGTGACAAATAGTAAGCTTTATCAACCCAAGACTTATTTAGTTTTGTATCTTCCACATCTGACAGGTGTGCTTTTTTTGTTTTTTTGAGATTCACTTGTTCCTCCTACCATTTTTCCAGACATCAGCGGTGGATGTGTTCTCAGCAGGCTGCGTGTTCTACTATGTAGTCAGCAGAGGGCAGCATCCTTTTGGCGAGGCTCTGAGACGGCAGATCAACATCCTTTCAGGAGAGTACTCACTCTCACACTTCATGGATGACATTCATGGTGAGGGCAGCTATACACTTATATCCTTAAGTTGTTTAAAATGAGACAAAGACAATCTCACGTTCAATCTTTTGGCTCATTGTTTTTTATCTCTCACATTTACTATGATGTGGTTTATATTTCTGTTGCATAACTAATGTTGGACAGTTTCTTACTTGAAACTGTACAGTTTCAAGTAACATCATCAAGTTTCTTACTTTCTTACTTGATTACTTGATTTTCTTTTTATTTATTTAGTAATGGAAGAACATTTTGGTAGTGTGTAGAATGACTCTGAAGGTGAGAAAGGTGAAAAGGGCAAAGACAGAACTGAGGACAAAGTGGTGGAAGCTGAAAAAGGAAGAATGTTGTGTGACTTTCAGGGGGAAGTTGAGACAAGCTCTGGGTGACCAGAACATGCTTCCAGATGACTGGCCAACTACTGCTCATGTTATCAGGGAGATAGGTAGGAGAGTACTAGGTATGTATTCTGGAAGGAAAGTTGACAAGGAGACTTGGTGGTGGAATAAGGAAGTGCAAATATTGGTACAGAGAAAGATAGCAGCCAAGAAAAAGTGGGACAATGTGAGGACTGAAGAGAGTCCTCACACCAAGAGTACAGGGAGATGTAGCGAAAAGTGAGGGTTGAGGTAGCTAAGGCCAAACAAGGTGCATATACTGACTTGTATAATAGGCTGGAGAGTAAGGAGGGAGAGAAGGACTTATACAGGTTGGCGAGGCAGAGAGATAGAGATGGGAAGGATGTACAACAGGTTAGGGTGATTAAGGACCAAGATGGAACTCTACTGACAGATGCAAAAAGTGTGATAAGAAGATGGAAGGAGTACTTTGAAAAGTTGATGAATGAAGAAAATGAGAGAGAACAAAGAGGAGAAGAAGCTGCTCCTGTGGATCAGGGAGTAGCAAAGATTAGTAAGGATGAAGTCAGGAAGGCATTGAAAAGGATGAAGACTGGAAAGGCAGTTGGTCCAGATAACATACCTGTGGAGGTATGGAAGTCCTAGCCAGCAGTAGAGTTTTGGACAAGGCTACTCAATGAGATCCTAGAGAGTGAGAGGATGCCTGAGGAATGGAGAAGTGTGCTGGTACCAATTTTCAAGAACAAGTGTCCAAAATTGTGGCAACTACAGAAGAATAAAGTTGATGAGTCATTCACTGAAGTTATGGGAAAGAGTTGTTGAAGCCAGACTGAGGTCAGAAATGGACATCTGTGAGCAGCAGTATGGTTTCATGCCAAGAAAATGTACTACAGATGCAATCTTTGCATTGCAGATGTTGATAGAAAAATACAGAGAATGTCAGAGGGAGCTGCATTATGTTTTTGTAGACCTAGAGAAAGCATATGACAGGATTCCAAGAGAGGAGCTGCGGTACTGCATGAGGAAGTCTGGAGTAACAGAGAAATATGCTAGAGTGGTGATGGACATGTATTATAGCTGTAAGACTGTGATGAGGTGTGCTGTAGGAGTGACAGAGGAGTTCAAAGTGGAAGTGGGACTTCACCAAAGATTGGCTCTGAGCCCTTTCCTATTTGCTGTGGTGGTGGACAGGTTGACAGATGAGGTTAGACAGGAATCTCCATGGACTATGATGTTTGCAGATGACATTTTGATCTGTGGTGAGAGCAGAGAACAGGTGGAGGAAAATCTCGAGAGATGGAGGCTTACCCTGGAAAGGAGAGGAATGAAGGTAGCAAGACAGAATACATGTGTGTGAACGAGAGAGACCCAAGTGGAGACATGAGGTTAGGGAACAGAAATAAAGAAAGTGAAAGATTTTAAGTACTTAGGGTCAACAGTCCAGAACAACGGTGAATCTGGAAAAGAAGTGAAGAAACGTGTCCAAGCAGGGTGGACCGGGTGGAGAAAAGTGTCAGGTGTGATGTGTGATAAAAGAGCATCAGCAAGAATGAAGGGAAAGGTATACAAAACAGTAGTGAGACCAGCAATGCTGTTCGGTTTAGAGACAGTGGCAATGACGAAGAGGCAGGAGGCAGAGTTGGAGGTAGCAGAGATGAAGATGTTGACGTTCTCTTTGGGAGTGACAAGGATGGATAAGATCAGAAATGAATACATCAGAGGAACAGCTCATGTCAGATGTGTAGGAGATAAAGCCTGAGAAGCCAGACTGAGATGGTTTGGACATGTACAGAGGAGAGACACTGAATACATCGGTAGAAGGATGCTGAGAAAGAGACCTAGAGGAAAACCAAAGAGGAGATTTATGGATGGAGTGAAAGAGGACATGAAGGTAGTTAGTGTGAGAGAAGGAGATGCGGGAGAAAGGGTTACATGGAGACGGATGACTTGCTGTGGCGACCCCTAAAGGGCTTCTTTAGGGGAAAAGAAAAGAAGAAGAATGGAAGAACATCATTGACTTAAAAACTAGAGGTGTGCCGATCGATCGGTCACCGATCATAATCTGGCCGATTTTCGTGAAAAAGTGCATGATC